ATTTATAGAAGTTATAGTTTGTTTTGAATGTTTGCTTTTATGATGAATTTGAAGGTGGCTGCGAGTGAGGATCTGTGCTGTGATCGAGTGATTCTGAAAGGTGTTTGCGAACAATTTTGGTTCGGAGTATGAACCGCATTCCGTCATTAAGTGTTTAATTGTAGTATTACTCTTATATTAATACCTAAATGGACAAAAATTAATTTTGTAAAATTCAGATTGAAATTATAATACATTTTTATCTTTGTATGGGTCATAGTGCTCTTGGAATGAGCTCACGACGCACAGTTTAGAAACTGCTGTGTTATACCATTGCACCAATAAACCCAATTAACAATGGATGTTTTTATGTCTTAATTAAAATATTATCTACAAATTAATTAATTGTGTACATTTAAATTAGTTATAAAATGTTTTAGATCCATAGATCGTGTATAATTAAATGTCTTGTTTTTGTCGTTTTCTAATACATTGAGGAGATAATATTATACATGAAAAACTGCTATAACCAATGACCAATGGAAAAATTTTATTAAACTCTTATTTTATTTCCTTTTAATTGTATATTATGTCTGGTGAATTTTCATAATTATTTTCAGCCACTAGTGACTAGGTATACATAATTAAAAATGCTCGTTAAGACGTTTTGTGTGATAGTACTTATATGTCGCTGCCATAAAACAATCTTCTTTTATTTTGTATTTAATGATATAATATTATAATATAAATTCATAATAAAAGCAAAACTTCAAAACCAACTGTAAAGCCTATATAAATTGTCCACAATCTTAATCTGTACATCATTATCGAAATAAGCTTCATTAAATAATATAACTGTATCCCAATGGCCTATGTCGCCGTGGGTAATTTTTTATTAATAAAAAAAATATAATATAATAGCAATTTATTATTTTGTCCAATACTTATAAGTTATAAATTATAATAGTCAACGGCCATTGTTATTATCATAATATTATAATATATTACTATTATTAAACTAGAATGGGATTACATTTATAATATACACGTCACTGTAGTAAACATCATGGGCCCCCACACGAACATGTTCAGTGGGGCCCATTGTCTTCTTGAAGAATAAATAAAAAATAAAAACACTGATAAGTATAATGATTGATATGACACTAGACATAATATAAATTACGGTATAATAATGTAATCGTTTCTAAAAACTAAATTATATAAAACGTGGAGCTTACTAAAATATATACGCTGCAGCGGTTGCGGTCTCGTAAGTTATAACAATTATGTATGCATATAAAATATCATGCATTATGCACTTTGTACATACTGATGAATTATAATATTAATTAAATTTGTTTAGTACTCTCGTAATACTCATACACGCCGAATCAGTGTTGTATTAGAGTAGCTACCGGTATTAAAAAGGGTTATTCACTAGACTATTTTTATTCTGGTCGTCAATGATTTAGATACCTCTAAATTTATCCTCATAAGGGCGTCGGTGCGTTTTTTAGTACCAAAATCATGTATAACAGGAAAAAATCTCACGCCCTGTAGAACAGTCGGATTTCGTTAATATTTTTTTACTTAAAAGGAGAACATTTTGCATGTCAAATTAAAGGCCGATTTTCAAAATTATAACTATAGAATCTAAAATATGCATTTGAATAGTACACAATATTTGTTCTTTTCCAAACGTATTTTTCTACCACTATTTAAAATAAAATGAAAATTCGGCCTTGAAACCCACCTGAGGAACAACTCTTCTTTTAAATAAAAAAAAAATTAACGAAATCTGACTATTCTACAGGGTGTGAGAGTTTTTCCTGTGAAGTAATTTTCGTTGAGATAATACACAGTAACAAGCCTCCCCCCCCTAAATAGGTATCGAGCTGTAGTTTAGTGGAAAATTATTATAATTATTAATTAGGGTAGTAACTAAAATATTAAATATAATTTTCAATTTTTATAGAATTTCCGAAAATTGAAAAACCCCGGCACCGACACATTTAAAAAAAATAGATTTATTCCGCTATAAATTTCGGTTATATATTAAAAAGCAATGATAATGGTAATTTTTTATTTTTAGCAATTTTTGAAAGTATACAAAAAACCAGTGTTTTTACAACATTGGTTCCCGAGTGGGATATCGAACGTCGAATTATTGTTATGTCTATCACGATCACAGTGTACCGCCAACTATACCAGCATAATGTTCGGTGTCGGGTGATCGAAGAGCAATTTTTTATTTCAATATTCGTATAGACTATAGATTATATTATTTAAAAATTTTTTTACTCATTGCTTTCACCGGTTTTGCGGGTTGCTCTGGGACAGTCTCGTTGGCGGCGGCAGGTAATCATAACAACTATCGCGTTATCTTTAAATCATCCTGATTAATCTAGCCTTCGCGCGTCGGTCATTAAAGCTGCAGCGGAGCATCTAATAAAATTATATATATTATGGAGTTTTTATTGACCGTCAAACCGCAGCAGCAGTCGCGACGCTGATATCGTATTAAGTGGACGTTACAATGACGTCGTCTGAAATATTAATACCTTTATAACCTTTATTGAGTATTTCATCATGGAAAAATATATGATTAACAATATGACGTGTAATTCGATCGTCTACCGAGTGATATAATATTCTAACTGTGTCGTCGTTTTAGTTTGTCATTGTTTATGTGTTTGTGGTTATTTTTTTTTGTAACGATGTCATAATTCCCGAAGAAGGACGCGAATAATCTGTTTTTTTTTTTGTTATTTTTATGAGGTAACGAATGGGTACTAGTGTACTAAGTTTTGTTGATTTTTCTCATATGTACCTCTATTATTATGCTATTTACGCATGGTTGGTAATAGTACGAATTTTAAAACTTAAAGTTTTACCTTCGATTATAGTCCTCGTGCATTCTGAAAGTCAAGTAAAATGTAAATAAAGTCCCTTGAATATAATCGCTTATTTGAAAAAAGAAAAAATATATTATAAATGTTTTTGTGTTACTTTTTGTATTGTTTTAATTATACTCGTTAATTTCATATTATACAGTATGTCTTCAGTATAATATCCAGAAGAAAATATAATAATATTGAAGAATCATTTTAATTACTGATGACCATTTATATAGTAAGTGTGTATATTATATGAATACACCGTAGACATAATATGTATAGACACTAACTGTTATATTTTATCTAGCTTCATAATTTTTAACATAAACATTTAACGTTATCACTAGGTATTACGACGACGTTTAAATCGAAACTTGTTTATTTAATATTAATATAGTAACCATAAAAAAAGTATTTATTTCAGGGTTCAAAATCAAAAGACTTGTTTCAATAAAGAAAATGATCCCCCAACCGGGCATGGCAGAAACTTACTGGTGCCTAAATAGAAATTCTGATTAATAGGCGTCCGAACTAGGCCTCCGGGCCTACTCCCAGGCATAGTGCCATACGAAAAAAAAATCATATATTATAATATAGGTGTTAAGTATATATTATGTAGACCAGATATCTCCAGATCTACGTCAATTATTTATTTATTTATTTAATTTTAATACGGGCCGCAGCCCAAAGTACAGAATATAAATTTCACATATTATAATTTAATACAGAAATGTGTAGTAGACATAAAAATTAAAGTAGATAAGGAAATAAGACAAAAGAAAAGAATTTCAAAACTTAACTTAAAAACTAAAAGACGGATCCTCATTAACATCATCCTATTTATTTTAGTGGTTTGTTTCGTGAATAATTTGTCGTACACAGTGGAATACTGAAAGGATAGGAAGAACGGACCTGGACCATAATTATCGGTGTGTTTCGTGATAAATCCAAATAATTTGTGTAATAATCACGTTTACTCGTCAGCCTGTACGTACCTAAATACTAATATCTTCTACTCGTATGTAGTAGATACAACCATTAATGAATTTGGGAGTGTTGATTTTTTGTCTTATTGTCTGGCACGCGCAACAAGTAAATATTATACACGTCCAACAATAAATTGATTCGCAGTTAAGCGACGAGAATTGGGAAAAAAAGTTTCATAAATTGGTCGTCGAGTCTACGCGTGAGATCAACCATTCGCGCGCCATTTAAAATGTTCATAATCCCTCTGAAACGCTAAAAAAATGTTTTTTGAAAAGAGTAGAAATTGTCGTATTTTGATTTTTCAAAAGACGTCGAAATCAAAAACTCGCGGGAAAGTCGATCTTGCAGAGCAGACTAGCCAACGGGCAACGACATAATATTATGCCTGTAATTCAAATCTGTTTCAGAATTATTATTGTCGTTTCACTATATAGGTTAAACTACGTTCAGCCGTTACGTTGGAACGAAAACGTGTCGGTAGTGATTTCCCGTTGTCGCCGCGCGGACGTGTGACATATCATAATATTATCATATTACAAACAAAGACGGAAAATCGCCGTTTCCTGCAATTCCCCTCCCCCCTCTCCACGGCCTCAACAATTTGCGTAATTTATTACAGAGCTACAAATATAGAATGATTCCGATATAATATGTACCTCATACTATACCCGCAGTGGTGTCGAATTGCACCTAAAAGGAAACTGTGTATAATTTCGATACCGTAAAACGAAAAAATTAGTCGCCGTTCGCTCGCGTGCCTGCAGCATAGTTCATTGAACCATAATAATAATGTACCTGCTGTAACAACACTATCGTAACGTACTCGTCGTAACGTATACGCGCACAACGTGCACACCGCCACCACGAAGTAGCGCGGTGGCAATATTTTCAAACACTACTTTTAGATTTTCATTACCCATCGACGGCGGCGGCGGCGGCGGCGGCGGTCGCGCATTCGTGACGGCGTGTCGTCGTCGTGTACATCGCCGCCGCCGCCGCCGAGCCGCTCTGGAAAAGGTCCAACTACGATTGTTTTTCGCGGTGTTCCACCTACCTACCTACTTACTACTTGGGCTTATCGCTGCCGATTATCGTATTGTTTACATAATATTGCGTTTTCTGTTTTCACTCCACAAGATCCGACGAGATGGTGGAAGCGCTGGCGACCGGTTTTCAAAATCTCTACAACAAGTACACCCGATCGGAAAACGGGCCGCAGGACGGCGGCGGCAGGCGCGACGTGTACATCGTGCCGGTCAACAACAACACGGCCGTCGCCGCCGCCGCCGACGACGCTCAGAGTCAGTTCCTGTTGCAGCAGCGGTACCGCCCGAAAGCTCGCAAGACGTTCGTGTTCGACGCCAGACACCTGTGTCAGGTCAAGACTGTGAAATGGCACATGATGAGACAGAGCAGATTGCGGGCGTCCACGGGACAGTGTTGTCCGGTCTGCATACCCGTGAGTATAAAATATCCTGCGGCACTCTTTGACTTTTTATTTGAAGGGTACAGGGAAAAAATCAGAAAAGTCACTTTTTTTTTATTTCGAGAAAAACGTGTTTTTAATTTTAAAACTTAATAATTTTTTATTCAAAATAAAAAGTTCGGGTTAAATGACATAATGAACATTGAAAATATGTAGTAAACAGAACAAATTTTGTTTCACACCACACCTCGACAAACGTCGAGCAAAATATATCTACGAAAGGCTTCCTTCATTATATTTTTGCATTTAATACCTAAAAAAAAAATAAACAAATTATTCAAATTATTGGTTACTTTATAAAGACATGCTGGCATATCTCGTCTACAACAGTGGTACTTATATATCACAGTCGTCTATGGCGTAGGCGCAGACTCTGGCTTCAGACCCTTTATGCTGAATGAGATCAATTCAGGCACTTTCCAATAGTATGGCTATAAGTCTATTTTACCGGACATCCTTTTTTTTTTTCAATTTTTCTCCACCAAAATACGTGTATTATACTAGGTATAGGTACACTGAATTAAAGTGTTAGAAAAAATTTGGGGAAAATTATAGTTCGGTAGATACTGTTTAAAAGTTACAGAAAATCAAAGTTGTCCATATGTTACAGAGCTTACCGGTCAAATAAGGTTGACTATTTCTGCACCCGGCCCCCGGGAGGTCGAGTAAAGTCACAGAATAGATAAAGATAGAAAGTAGACTTGTTCTGAAGTTTGTCCTTACTTATAGAGATCTACCCAATGTTGGTTTACCTAACAAATCCAGGGATGTTTTAGATTTTAATTGTTGAGTGACCACGCTGGGTCTATGTATACATTCGCTGTTATGCCTTTTCGCAATATATACTATTTTAAAAGAATCTTTAAAAGCAACAAGTTAATTATTTAGACAAAAAAATAATATGTTCTCGGAAAAAATTTATATTTCATTATAATTTATTTTTTATCATATTTTGTTCATATTCCCGATGGCCCAATCCGCCCTTGATAAAAGTATTCATTATTGTATATATTTTTTATATTCAAGTAAATGAAAGTTGTACTGAATATAATAAATATTATTTTTTACATATTTTAAGTAGGTTCATATATAAATTACCCAACGGCTATTATTTAGTGCAATTTATTGGTCCATCAACCCAGAAAATGACCGAGCGCAACTGGTCCATCGACCTTAAATGTTTTAAGCGCAATTGGTATATCAAAAGGTAATTTTAAGCGCAGTTGATAAGCTCCCATTTATAGCTATTAAATAAATTATCAAAACATAAAAAAGGCTCCGGGGGGGGGGGGGGTTCAGGGTATCTAAAATTCCTATTATTAAATATAAACTTTTTTTTTTGCCACCATTTACGTAGGTATAATTTATATTATATTTGCATAGCAATAAATTGATGCAGTTTGTATTATAATATTATTTTATTTTATTTTCTAGAACACGTCGTGGGGTAATCCAAAAGTTAAGTCAAATTTAAAGAACTTATTGGACATATACAACATTGGTAACATTCAAAAGTCGATGTTTGGTTGTTTCGTCGACGATTTAAAGTTTTTCTACCAGCTCAAAAGCCAAGAGTACAAATATATATACGACGAAGTAGGTACACATGACATAGCGTACTTATGTTGTACATATGTATTGTGTGTGATAATTAATTTATTGAGTTACAACTCCTTAAGGTTCTGGAAGACGAAGTTGTGGAGAAAGCAATTGCTGCAGCCGCACGTAATGCGTGTGCTGAAGATGCGGTGGTTGGGGATAGCCGTCTTGACGAGGAGATGAAAACACAGCAAGCAAACACGAGGCGCATACTAACGGTCATAAGTGCAAATGTTAAAAACTGGGTCTACAAGTAAATTTGTTTGTTTTCCATTTTACTCTGCAATGCATGTGCTTTATGATTGACTGTTTTTTGTAGGGTAATCGGTTGGTTCACATACCGTATGATCTCGTTGTTGGCCACCAGCCTCGTGGTCCAGCCCATGCAAATCGACAGGGTCAGGGAAGCCGAACAGAGTGGCCTACCTGTTATTTATTTACCGTTGCATAAAAGTCACATGGATTATATACTTTTGGGATTGGTGTTGACAGTAAATAACATCAAACCGCCACTGGTAGCAGCAGGAGAGAACCTCAGAGTTTTCTTCATTAGGTACATGGTTCTTCTCTAACAATTATTTTATTCTTATAACAAATAATGTAATTATGAAATGCTAATTGATTTAATTTTTATTTCAGTAAACTGTTGAGTTTCTTGGGAGCATTTTACATCAAGAGACACATAGACACAAAAAGAGATCAACTCTACTGGTCAGTTTTGAGCAGTTATATTAAAAACAGTATGAAAAATGGACACCATATAGAATTCTTTTTAGAAGGTGCCAGAACTCGAAGTGGAAAGTGTTGCGTTCCTAAAGGTATGTTAATCAAATATAAAAATATGTAGGCATTGCATAAGTCATATGTATAATTATTTGATTTCTACAAATAGCTGGATTATTGAGTATCATAGTGGATGCTTACCGTGAAAAAGTTATTGAAGATGCGTGGATTATACCCGTGTCTATGAATTACGACCGAATATTGGAAGGGAATTTTGTCAGAGAACAGCTTGGCCAACCAAAAAAGAAGGAGACTTTCTTCGCCGCAATTTCGACATTCATTAAAGCTATTTGTTCACATTATGGAATAATGAGGGTGGATTTTAATAAGCCATATAGATTACGAGTATGTTTAATAATATAATATAATAACTATCAAAATTATTATTTGATTCAAATATATGATAGAGTCAATTATAATCTAAATAGTTATAACAGAATAAATTATCTCGTTTATGCAAAAAGTGATCAAGTGAAAACTATGATGATTTTAGTTTGAAATTTGAAATTTTTAGTACCTATTTCATAATTATTTTATTATTCCACTTAATCAATTTTTGTATTATGTATTCAATTTTTTTGAATTTGAGGTCAGCTATTAAAAATAACAACATTTTGGTTTAATTACATTTATTGTATTGTTGTGTACTATAGTTTTATAATATAAACTTATTCAAGAACATTTATATCTTACAAAAATTAATTTTAAAAAAAATCATGCTGTAGCCTTGATTTATTTTACTTGATTTTTAAATAATTATTAACAGTACATCAGCAGGTATATTTAATATTTTTCTCAAACATCAGATAATTAGATTTCACCAAATATTTTTTGAAACAAATTTAAGCCCTTGAATTTCATTAAAGTGTTTTTGATATAAGTACATTATATTTAAACCTATATTTGTATATTATTGATTTAACTTAGTAACATGTTGTTTTTAAATCATATTTTAGGATTTGTATGAATCGATTGATAAATTGACAAAATTAGAAAACGAATCATTAAATAAGAATGGTATGGAAATTATGTCTACAACTATTTGCTATAAAACTACAGTTGACAGAATGGCGAAACACATAGTTTATGGTAATATTAATTTTTTTGAATTGAAAACTATTGATGATACACGTTACATAAGCTACATTTAAAAATCTAATGTATGTTGTATTATATTTTTGGTTCTTGTTCCAATATTTTGTTATATTATGTACGTTTGAGTTTACCTTACCAATTCTCAATTTAATTTTTTTGACAAGACCTTTCTTTGAGTTGCGCTTCTGGTATTTCTTTAACTAAATTCAGTTAGATTAAATTATGTATCATTTTGACATTTTCGAGCACAAAAAATACATCAATCGAACATTTTTATGGTTTATAAGTTTCAGAACTAATTAAAAATACATAATATATTTAACCAATGATAATATGTATATACTTTTATAGTTTTTTATATAATTGAAGCCATGATGAAAATAATTTAAAAGATATCCTTCTTTCATATTAAAGACATGTAGTATTTTATAGATTGCTGGAAATCAACTCCTATAATGTCAACGCATGCAGTGTGCTTTTTACTTTTGAATAAGCATAGAAATGGTACTACTTTAGAACAGTTGGCCAAGGATTTAACAATGATGCGTGATAAACTTTCTCAAGCTGATAGGGATATCGGTTTCAGTGGAATGTCCATAGAAGTTATCAAACACGCAGTAAGTGTTAAATGAAAACTATAAAATTAAATATTTTACAAATTTTTTATTGTTTCAGCTTGATCTCTTGGGGCCAAAATTAGTTGTATATGAAAATACTGATTCTGGCTGTATTGTTAAACCGATTCTTGATGTACCAGTCTTAATAGAACTCTCATATTACGGAAATAATCTTATTTCCCATTATATGCATCAATCATTAGTGGGTCAGTATTAAATATAATAAAATATTTTAAGATTTTTTTTTAAATATTTCTTTATGATTTTATTGTGGATTAATCATAATATTGATTTTTACAGCTCTAACAATATGTAAACTAGTCAGTCAGGACTTCTTGAACAATGCCATAACAGAAACGAAAATCTCAAGAAAGGACTTGATTGGAGATGTAACATTTCTCACCAATTTATTGCAATTTGATTTTGTTTTTATTAAACCTTGTGATACTCTGGATAATATTGTGGATTCAGTGATTAGACATTTTGAGGAAGAAGAAATTATTTTGATGGATTTGGTATTTTAAAAAACAATTATTATTTCTATTTAGTTAATCATAGTATAATTTATGTATTATATATAAGCATTTATTTTATTTTATAGATGCTCGAGGAAGAGAGGCGTAGCCAATATATGGCGAAAATGTTAGATAGTGATTCTGATGATGATTATCAACGTCCATACGTCGAAATTGATGTTAAATACCGTGTATGTATTTTTTATTGACTATTTTGTATAAGTTATAACAGTTTTTCTATTTTAACTGCTATATTAATTGTGTGTTTTTAGTGTGTATAATAATTGTTTTAATGTATAGGTTAGCACAAATGAAAAAAGTTTAAATCAATTAAAGTTTTATCGCTCAGTTATGATGCCATACTTAGAATGCATGGCTGAAAGTGCTGGAAGTTTTCTTGCTTTGTCAGAAAATTCAGTGACAGAACGTGAACACGTACAAACAATTTTAAACCAAATGCACGAAAATTTGGAAGAGGGAATCCTGTCTTATGGTAAATTTTGTTTGTCAAATTTAGATAAACTCTTTGTATTACAAATATAATCATACCCATTTGTTTCCTATAAATAATTCATGTGTATGTAAAAAATGTTTATAGGTGAAAGTATATCTCTGGATACCATCAAACATTCATTTTTGGCGTTTGAAAAGTTTGACTGTCTACAAATCACAACAAAAGACAATATCAAGACATTGCAGATTATTAATAATCAACCCAGTGAGTTAAATCCAAGTATGCAGGCCATGTCAGATTATATTGAGGAATTTGTTAAACAAATAAATTAAAACTGTAAAGTATTTTGTGCTTAATAATGTTAACACAATCTAAAACTAAATTGTACAGTAGTTCAATTACAATAAATTGGATTAACTGGTTAGTGGATTTATCTTAAAAGTTATGTAGGTAATATGTACATTTTTAAGTATTTATTAAAAGACATTAAAAGCCTCAAAATATTTATGAATTGAATCACATTGTTGTTTTAATTTTAAAAAAGGCATTCAATTATAAATAGTTTTCAAAAACATGCTCAAACTATGATATTCAAAATAATTTTTGATAAACATTTTTTTTTGTTTATCTTTAAATATTAAATTTAAGATAATATATGTGTAAATATTTGTTATTTTTAATGTTATACAGCTGGGATATTATATTTTTAAAGTACTGTGATTGTATTTAAAATTGTATAAGTAGCTAAACCTTCAAAATAAACTATTGTACTCAAAATCTTTATTACTTTGTACATTCATGATCAATTTTTTTCTCAAAATTATTTTTTTAAAGTTGTATGACTATTTTAAAATTAATTACTTATTTTCAATGGAAATATACCTAGTATACTTAATATTATGAGCAATTTAAAATATTTTCTTTTTGCTTAAACACGACATTTTTGTTTATATGTTTTTATGTTGTGATATAAAGTTGTATTCATACACTTTAAACCAGAATAAAATATGAAACTACAATAAGTTGTGTCTGTGTATACATTTTTTTATTCAGATGGGTTTAATAATACTCGATTTGTGAGATAAATATTGATTGTTGTTTTTTTGGAAAATAAGGTATAAAGTTAGTTAATTTAGTACAAATATTAATGGTTCTTATGCCAATTGTACCATATATTTTAGATATAATTTCTTAACACACATTTGAATTTTTCAGGAAGATAACTTGAGAACGACTAACTTTTTTGAAATTAAACTCTTCTACCCTGCGACATTTTGAATATTAAGAATTTTAATTATTATTAACATAATATAAAAATAATCAAAAACCCATGAAAGTTGATTAATTCTTGAAAACTTTAAATCGAATGCAGCTTCAAAGCTATTTTACCCTACGGCCATGACTCCATTTATAATAATATTATTTTATTTTTTAATTTATTATTAATGTCGTCTTTAGGGTCAGATGATAATGGTAGTGCTCTCTGTCGACGTGTTTTTAAAGTAGGTATGAATGATGAGTGAGATGAACCGCAAGCGACCACTACCAGCGATGTAGTCGTAATTTTTTTACCGAATATACGCTTTAATGTGAAACGTATGTAAACATGGGGGGTTTCGCCCATCCACCCCCCCCCCATATATACTACGTTATTATTAATTTTATATTTAGAATTACATACACTTTATTACTACCAGTGCCGGCGCTAGGGGAGGACAAATGGGACATTTGTCCAGGGCCCCGCGCTTGTTAAAGGACCCCGTGATTTTTAATTATCATCTTGATACGAATACTGTGGTCTACCGTCGTATATTGCATTAAACATTTTGATGAATTAATTTATTTTTAATTGATGATTTTATGTAGTTGTTAAAATATATGTAAATTAATAAAATAACCAGCCCTTATGAATTTATTAGCCTACGATTTTCCACTCAAAGGTTTAACTGAAACTCACGCTACGCCAATAATTCTGTGCTGAGCGAGGTTTCATCAGGAGGAATCGCACTCGAATGTGTTGTCTCCGTTTACTCAAGTAGGTAAGGTAAAGTGGGGTAAGTGTGACGCAAAAATTAAAAGTTAATTTTGAATTTGACAATACTTTTTTTGTTTTTAACTTAAAGTTGTTATTGTTCCATAATGTAACACCTCTAGATATACATAATTGGAATTTATAGTCAACAAAGTTATATTATCACTCACCTAAGAATAATTTTTTTTTTTTTTTTTAATTTTAAAACGTCACACTTGCCCCTTTTCATGGGGCAAGTGCAAAATCGGATTGTTTTTGCTATTAGTATTACATAAAATTATACATGGGGCAAGTAAATAACAAAGATAAAAATAAGCTTTAATTTGATTTTTGTTTCATTAAAATATCTTGATTCATTAAGAATTGACAGAGCATTATTTAAATTAAATTATTTACCTATATTATATATAAAAACAGTACTTTTTTTAAAATCCTGATTTAAAAAAAAGCTAAAATTTCACTACTCTCTGAGAACCTAAAGGCTATTACCTATGACCAGGGCCCCGCAATACCTAGCGCCGGCACTGATTACTACCTTACCACAATTGAGCCTCTATAGTTTACAATCATAGGTACTTCTAAAATATATATTATATTATACATTTAAATGTTTTATGATTGACCATGTTAATTTCTTAACCCACCTCTCCCCACTTCTTTTTAAAGTTAAAAAACCTAAATATTTATTAATATTTATAGTCTTATAAGTATACTCGATAGTATATATTAAATTTGTGTGACACAGTGTACACGAAATAATATTTATTGATAAAATTATTTTCAGTAATGCATGTGACCGTGCATGTCGGCGTCGGCAATCGTTATCGAAAAGCTTATAATTTTAGACGTATAACTATGGTGACCAGACGTACTTATTTTATAAGGACAGTACTGTTTTTTGGTAACATGTCCTACTGTCCTAAATAAATGGTCGATGTATACTTAAATGTACTTATTTTTAATAATTTAATAATTCCAAATGGAAATAAATTACCTAAATTCAAATTTAAGGGATTTAAAAAAATTCTGTTATCAAAAATCAATTATGCAGGTTTATACTAACTTTGATGAATCGTGTCATGAAATGTTTAATATGTTGAAAATGGATCAAAAAATACTAAAAGAAATTCATGGATCTCAAAAATATTTAAAATAGTGATATTTCAATATTTGTTCCTTTTTTAATTTAGTTCCTTGTAAATGTAGGTATTAAATTTTGTTTCCTATTAAGTTAAATGTTTGAGTTAAAATATGTTAAAAGTTCTAAAGTTGTTTTTTTATTAAGTATTTATTATTATAAGTTTTGTTTTTCATGAAAGTCACATGAGTTTAGTTACATAAAAACACATATTTTATTTTTCACTCTTAGTAAGATTAAAAATCTGTGATGCATATTTATGTTTAAAAATAAATAAATGAGTTTAAATTGATGTTATATTGTTAGGTATTTATATTGATATATATATATACGCATTATATTATATTAGCCTATATTATTATGTACTGTTTTTTCTTTTTTAATATCTGGTCACCATACGTATAATATAAAATATTATGTGTAATAAATATAGATCCAAACAATGAGGTTAAAAATAGATGTGTAAAATGTAAAAATAATAACAAGGAAATATGTTTGGTATTATTGGTTATTCGTTAACACTGTTTAATGTTTATATTATAGCCATATTATAGTATTATAGTATACCCTTATGGCCGTATACCTGCCTTCACAAATTATATTAAAAGTATACACATCAACCTGGAGAAGTCGTTATACGCCGTATACCCGAGTATACGCCCCACTATACCACTGACCACTACTCGCTTTCCGGGGATAGATGACGCTGCCATTTTCGTATTTTATTCGGTTTTCAAACAATTTTCAACTCTTCCGAATTCATATTTCTCGCCAACAGACCACAACACTTTTTTGGGTAGGAGGTTGATGTTCAAATCTTACGATTGAAAACTTATAAATTATAAATGTGTATATTATATAGCTATAATTAGGGCTCGGATTTAAATGCCCTAAAAATATCAAAAAAATGCATTTATGACCTAAAAACTCTAAAAAATGCCCTAAAAATATCAAAAAATGCATTATTTATTAAATAAATTCAAATTTAATTATTATTAAAAAATGAGGAACAAATAAAATTCTAATAAAAATTATAAATTATATGACAATGTACAAAAAAAAAATTAAATTAAATTTTTATTACGTAGTACTATATTACTATGTAGTACTTTTATTTCAATGAGGCCAATTTTTTTAGTCATAATACGACAAATAGGTCAAAAATGTCCTAAAAAATTAAAAAATTAAAACCGTCAAAAAATGCCCTAAAAATTATGAATTCCGCTAAAAATGCAAAAAAAGCAAAAAAATGTCCCAAAAATTATTATATGGTTAGATTGCGAAGTACTTGAAACATATTTGTAGCTTGAAAAGCATCGCGTAAGATATCCCAAAAAAAAGATGCAAATGCATTGAAATCCGAGCCCTAGTTATAATATATCGATTGACCATTCAAATCTGATGCGTCGAATCTTGTTTTGAAAGATGAGTGTTCGCTGCTCGGACGAATGTACGGACCAATCCTAGAAGATGTGTGCTGAATGATGAAAAATAGAGAAGTCCAGCAAGACTACCCAAAACCCGGTGTAATAACCCAGGTACCAGCTGTTGCTTACCATTTCCATGTACAATTTCGTGGTTTTTAAATTTGGCGGTGGAAGGATTGCTGAGCGAATTCCAAAACTAAACTATGAAGTCTACGGGACTGGTGAGTTATATTTTTGCAAAAAAAAAAATTCAAAAATGTTAGTATTTACTAAGAAAGGGATGGGAAATTTTTGCATTTTTTGCAAGTTGGATTTTAAAGCAGAAGGAGCGTTTTGCGATCATCCAAATTGGGTTTGACTTTTCAGGTTTGATAATACCCATTGTAAAATGTGAATTTTCCACAATAATTCACTCTGAGTTACGGTAATGACTATTGTCTATTGTATATATTCGAAAATAAAAACCACAATATCGACTGTTGTAACTTGTAGAACCAATATTTTGTATTTTCATACTTCGTTCAGAATCTTGTATTTGTATACCATGTTTTAAGTTTAAACGATTACGAACATGACTCGGCCACTCGCAGTGCCGCAACTTAGTTATTTAGGGCCCCAGGGCAAATTTAATTTCGGGCCCTATAACTATAGGGGGTACATAATATTATAAAATGCTGCTATATATTTTTTTTTTTGGATAAAATTAAAAGGCATGATAAATGATAATTATTTTGT